CTTTTGTAAACATGGAAAAGGTCCCTAAGGTCTTTGGCCTCTTTGACAAGCCAGTTGAAAAGACTTCAACTTATTCCTGTTTTTTTTTTTTTGGACCTTCCTCATAGTTCCTGTCTAAACTAGAGGTCAGAGATGATAGCCAGAGGTCAAAACTCTAGCCCAGAATTTGTTTGGTGCAAATTGTTATTGAGTCGTGTCTGCATTTATTTTTTTTTCTCCAGAGGTCTGTCTTTCTAGCAGAAACTGTAAGACCTGCAGATCACGCCACTTTTATTTCATCTAGATAGGTATTTTAGTTTCTCTGCATTTGTACCCACCCGTGTCTGGAAACTCACGACATAGCCCAAGACACAACAGCAGCTTTCACAGTCCACCAGCCAACCTACGACTTCTCAAACCCCACATCTCTCTTCTTTCCCTTATTCTTATAGCTAAACTTCTTAGTATCTGAGATACAGTTGGTCTTGGAGAAGGGAAAAATTAGTAATTAGAAGACCTTTCAAATTCATAATGGAATAGTTTAAGACATGTCCCTCAAGCCAAGTGTGGTGACACACACCTTTGGGAGGCAGAGGCAGGGGGATCTTTGAGTTTGAGGCCAATCTACAGAGTTTCAGGATAGTGAGATAGAGAGACCCTGTCTCAAAAGCCATAAAAAAAGATATCCTCTCAATTTTCAAAACTCTCATTTCTCCTTAAGGCCTAGAATTATTAAGCCATGAACTTCCCTTCACCCCTAAGTAACCAGAAAATTCCTACTCTCTCTTCTTCTCAAAGGGTAACAGAATTTCTTTCAAAAATGGCAGTACTCTCTGCTAGATAATACATTTCAAAGCAAAACTGACAGACAATGGGAATAGTGTATATATCCTGAAGTGGGATATAAATAAGCAAAGAACCCCTTTATTTATTTGATGAAAAGGAGATTATTGCAATTAGTAGGGTTAGGAAAAGAAGAGAACTTTTGAGAGAGTGAAGACAGCGAAGTGAAGGGGCAGAGCAAATTCCAAGCATGGGTCCCTTCAGAAAGACAGAGACGAAGATGGATAAAGTGATTGATGTGGCCTTGGATTCACATGTGTGTGTATCAGAGGTCACATTCCTAGTCTGTACAATGCTTTTACAGTGATAAAGTGCCCTGCCCCACATCCTCCTGGTAAAGCATCTCTCTGGATTGGTGGACTGTGGGCCTTGACATCAGTAATGACTTGCCTCTTGTGAGTCGTGTGACCTTGAAGTAGGTTGTGCAAATTCTTTAGCTTTTCCTTGACCCAAAGAGCAAAGGTTGGAAGTTATTAGTTTTGGATTGATGTGATGCAGACAAACTGCTTAGCACATCACCCCACATCCAGAAAGATGTGACTCTCAGAGAGCCACAGAGCACCTGGTGGTAGAGGGCAAGAGCTATGTCTTGTTCAACTTTGTGCTTTGTGTCCCAGCTGTGCGTCCAGCAAATGACACTGCGTGCTCGCATCCAAGTCACTGCATTAGACATGCAGAGGCAGTTTGGGGCATCCCAGTCATGACCAAAGAAAGGAGGAAGTGCTGCAGAAAGCAAGGATGGCAAGATGTGCTCAGAGATGCCATCCCAGGCTTACCTTCACCTCTGCGGTTTCCCCCTCTCTGCCTCCGACTTTGATTATGAAAACTACATCGGTCCCCATAGAACTGAAAGGAGATCTAATATAGAAAAAGAGCATCACTCTTCCTTAGAGGGAACTTGGCACATGTGGTTTCAGAGGTACTTAACTTACAGTAGTGTCCCAGAAACAGAAAACTAAGGCTATTGTTATTGTGCTGCTGTTTGTAACAGGGTCTTGCTATATTGCCTACACTGGCCTTGAACTCCAGACTCGTTAAGCCTTCTGCTCAGTCTCCTGAGTAGCAGTGACCATAAAGAGCCACCACGGTGCTTAGCCCAAAGTTTTATGCTCTTGTAGACACTAGCTGTATTTTCCCTCCTGTTGTGTTGAAATCCTAAAATGTGGCAACATGCATGCTACGGTATGTACAGTTAAAAAATAGAAAAGGCAGCACACAAATTGGAATAAATGCTTAGAGAATTAATGCAATGCTTTATCAATTAAATAAGAGAGGTCTTCATTAAGGGGGAAAAAAAGTAATTCGGTGTGGACTATATGCACCTCAAGCCAGACACAACACAGCAGTGGCCACTGCACCCAAGCTGCAGCCAGTAGAAGCAGGCTGCCTTGTGCTGCAGGCTACATTCCACTACCTATGGGAGAAAAAGAGAAACTGCTGAAGCCCCCACTGTGCCTTCTCACTCCTCCAGAACTGTTACCATAGGAGGTTAGAGTGGGAGCCAGGCAGCCCTGGGTGTGAGCATGCTTTGTACTGAGTGGTTGGGGGTGTCACTCTAAGGCCTTTGTAAAGCAGAAGAGAACACTTCTCCCAGTGCTGTTGAAGCTAAGATGTAATGTATTATGCATGCCAGTGTGGTGTGTGTCCTTGTTCATATGGATGGTACATACATGTGCACACACAGATGAGTTGCATGTGTAATGTAGGTGGAGGCCAGAGGTTGACATTGGACATCTTCCTCGATTGATTGCCTGCTTGTTTTTGAGGCCGGGTCTCTCACTGAACCTAGAGCTCACTGACTTGACTAGGTTGGCTGACTAGTAAGCTCCAGGTATATAGATACACACTGATGTACCTGTGTTCTTGTGTGAATAATAGGAATCTAGACTCAGGCCCTCATGTCAGCAGTTTACCAGCTGAGACATTTTCCCAGCCACAACCACATTTCCTTTACTTTCTATTAAATAATGTTGCCTAACCGTCTTTAAGAAAAAAGAAAAGGAAAAGAGACAAACACATTGCAACGTCATGGCACAAACCTTTCATCACAGCTTTTGGGAGGCAGAGGCAGGAGGATCCCTATGTGTTCCAGGCCAGTCTGGTCTACCAAGTGAGCTCCAGGACAGCAAGGGATTTTAAACAGAGAAAACCTGTCTTGAAAACCAAAAAGGCCCGGCAGTGGTGGCACATGCCTTTAATCCCAGCACTCAGGAGGCAGAGGCAGGCGGATCTCTATGAGTTCAAGGCCAGCCTGGTCTCCAGAGCGAGTGCCAGGATAAGCTCCAAAGCTACACAGAGAAACCCTGACTTGAAAACAACAAAAAACAAAAAAAGAAGGAGGAGGAGGAGGAGGAGGAAGGGAAGAAAAGGGGGGAGACGGAGAAGAAGAAACAAACACAAAATCCCTTTTCTGAATAAAGAAATTGGTGAAAAAAAATGATGAAAAGAGTTGGGATGCTGTAATTGGGTTATAATTAATCTGAGGTTAACAATGCAATTAGAAGATAGGATTTGAGCTTTTGAAACTGCTAAGCAATTTGAACTCAATGAAATAACCTATCACTTCAGGTAGGTAACAGATATTTTCTTTTTAAACCCTTAATCTTTCCACTTTTAACCAAGGGACGATAAATCTTAGTTTTTAGAACAGAGACCAATTCCCTGCCTGGAGTCCATGACTGTGATAATAGGAATCAGTGATCTATTTAATAGTTGAAAAACACCAATAGGTTTAACATTTACCACCAATGAGGCTGCACAGATTAATTAAAATGTCACACTCCTTTGCTTTTAGCAGGCACTTTATGACACTGTTGCAGTAACTGATTATCAAACCAAATGAGCTGCTGGTAACATCGTGAAAGTAACTGAAGAAATACTATTTTAAAATCTGGGGCTCAGCCAGGAGGCAGCGGCACACGCCTTTATTCCCAGCACTTGGGAGGCAGATAGGCAGATCTCTGAGTTCAAGGCCAGCCTGGGTTAGAGTTCCAGGACAGCTAGAACTGTTCCACAGAGAAACCCTGTCTTGAAAAACAAAAAGAAAAAAGAAAGAAAAAAAGTCCTCCAAGAGGACATTGCAATTCTAAACATCTATGTACTAAAAACAAGAGCACCTATGTTCATAAATAAGAGAAACAGTACTACAGCTAAAGTCACATGTTAACCCTCACACAGTCATAGAGGAAGATGTAATTACATAGGCCATTTGGACAGCTACTCTATTAATGGGAGGAGGGGTGCTGAGAAGGATGTATGTTTGTTTGTCTCAGTGTGTGTGCACACATGTGAGTACATGTAGTGTCCAGAGGTCAACATCAAGTGTTTTCCTCAGATTCCACCCTATTTTTTTTTTTTTTTTTTTTTTGAGGTAGGATCTCTCACGAATCCGAAGCTCACCAATTTGGCTGTGTTGGCTGACCAGTAACTGCAAAAATCCTCCTGTCTCCACCTCCCCAGCTCTGGGGTTACAGGTGCACCGCACCACAGCTGACTTTTTACACAGATGCCTGGGGTCAAAGCTCCGGTTTTCATGTTGTTTGGCAAACATTTGCCAAATGAACCATCCCCTCAATATGTTCTATTTTTTAAGAGCTATTGTCCCTACATGTTATGGTATCTAGGATGTCCAAGTTAACCTAGAATTGCATTTGACTGTGGTTTTAATTAGAAATTTCAATGGCTATTAAAAAGATATAACACTAAATGTTCAGTTTCTTTTTTATCACGTGTTGCTATGGAAAAGGTATGTCTCATATGAAATGTTCTCATAACACCAACTTTAACCTCTGTCTTTTATATTGCATTACTGTAAAAGCATCAAATACCAGTACATGATTTTTGCTTCCCAGAGTTTCATATATGCACATATATTTCAAAATTGGGGATGGATCCTAGGGTATTTTTTACACATGCTAAGTAAGTCTCCTACCAGTTAGCTGCACCCCCAGCCCTGCTTTGACCTTCTTTGTTCTAAGATAAGAAACTAAGTTTCCCAGGCTGGCTGTGTAGCCCAGGCAAGTCTTTAACTTATGATTCTCTTGTCTTGGCCTCTATAGTAACTGAGACTACACTATGTACCACTATGAGTTCTTTTTTTTTTATATTTGCTGATAAATGTATTGGTACCTTATCTTGACAAAGTTGTGGGAAATAATATTTAATATGTGTTTATACAGAATTATGAAATTTCACGTGGCAAAACGGAAGTTTAAGGAAACATTGCGCCCGTATGATGTAAAAGATGTCATTGAACAATATTCTGCTGGTCATCTGGACATGCTGTGTAGAATTAAAAGCCTTCAAACACGGTGAGCAATGGGTATAGAAACTGTCTGGGGGTTCCTACAGTACACGAAATCTCAGTGTTGTATTTCTGATTCATTTTTGGTCGGCAACTGGGAAGTTGCTTTGGAACATACACTGTATTCTTTTCATGTGTAAATCAGACATAACAGCCTCCACATATCTCAGGCTCTTCTTCTGGAAAAAAGGAGAGAATATCAGTGATGCTTCATAGTGTTGACATGACCACTGACCAGTCAGTGTAGTTTGTAACCTTGGCACCGGGTACTTGGGATATGTTAATGATGACAAAGCAATGTAGCTCATTAGAACACTTTACAAAAGACCATAGCTTTCTCACCACTTACCACCCATGTATCAGGTATAAAACAAACCCCCATTGACTCTTTTCTATCAGTGTAAAATAATCATAATTATGATTTCATGGTTTTCATGGTTGAATTCAGAACTGACTGGTCTGCGGTAGAAACGAGCCACTTTGCTTGCACAATTCCTTCATAATTGATTTCATCACGGACCAGAAGGATGAGAAAATGTGTCTTATGTTATCTTGTGTTAAGAAAGCAATCAGGGGTGAGAGGTGTCTCCGCAGTTAAGAGCACTGATGCTCTTCCAGAGTTCCTGAGTTCAGATCCCAGCACCCATGTCAGGTGGGGTACAACTGCCTGTCACTCCAGCTCCAGGGACTCTGACATCCCCCCCCCCAAAAAAAGGTACCTGCACACAGGTGGCAGACACACAGACACATACACACATAAGTAAACAAACAAATAAATAAATAATACAAATGGCTCTTTTCTTTCTTTCTTTTTTTTTATTTTTTTTTTTATTTTTTTTTGGTTTTTCGAGACAGGGTTTCTCTGTGTAGCTTTGGAACTCACAGAGATCCCCCTGCCTCTGCCTCCCAAGTGCTGGGATTAAAGGCGTGCACCACCAACGCCCAGCTCCAAATGACTCTTTTCTAAAAGGAAAGATCATCAGATCAATTGGCACACATATCACCGTGTTTCACCTTTTACACATTTGACAATGGTCTTTCTTTCCTTTTTGGAGCATTTCACTTTTGCCTAGTGCAGTGGCTCTCGACCTCTGAGTCTCCACCCCTTTGAGGGTTGAATAACCCTTCCACAGGTGTCACCAAAGACCATTGGAAACAGCAGATATTTACATTGCATTCCCTAACAGTGTTAAGATTAAAAGTTTGAAGTAGCAACAAAAATAATTTTATGGTTGGGGGTCACCACAACATGAAGAACCATATTAAGAGGTCACAGCATAGGGAGGCTGATCACAGCTCTGGCCTAGTGTAATCTGTATGTTTAGTGCCTACAACTGGGTATCTTCTTTGTCTGCCAGTGTTGATCAAATCCTTGGAAAGGGGCAAATCACGTCAGATAAAAAGAGCCGAGAGAAAATAACAGCAGAACACGAGACAACGGATGACGTCAGCATGCTCGGCCGGGTTGTCAAGGTTGAAAAGCAGGTATAACTCATCCACACGAGTTAGCATTCATCAAAACTGAGTATTTGCAACTTAAGCACCAAAATTAATCTTCTTAAATCTTGTTTTACGGATATGAATGTTTTGCCTGCATGTATGTCTGTGCACCACTTATGCAAAGCATGCTTGGTGCCTAAAGAGGTCAGAAGATGTTGGGTCTCCTAGAACTGAATGGTGAATGGTGGTGAGCTGCTGTGTAGATAGATGTTGGAAATCCAGTCCAGATCCTCTGAGAAAACAAGAGCTCTTAATCTACCACATCTATCCAGCCCCTAAAGCTAACCTCTTTTGTTTGTTTTTGTTTTTTGAGACAGAATCTCCCTACAGGGCTCTGGCTGCCCTGGAGCTCACTATGTAGACCTTGTGTAGATTTCAAGGCTGACCTTGAAATCACAGAGATCTGCCTGCCTCTGCCTCCCAAGCACTGGGATTAAAGGTGTGCAACACTATGTCTATCCTCCTAAAGTTAATCTTAATGATCAGTATGTGTTAGAGGAATGAAGTGGAGAATGGTTGAAATGAAAGTGTCCTTACGTGTAGACAACGTCCTTTAAAACACTTTTGGACTTCCATCCGTTAACCTGGAACCAACTGTAAAATTTCAATAGTAACATAGCAAAAATCTGTTTGTCAGGTGTGCTTTTGTTTAAGTTCATTATGTTTCTTTTAGTTTCCTCCACTTAAAATAAGATTTAAAGCCCCACCATAGTTGTTAGCCCTGAGACTGTCTTCTCAACGAGTGTTCCCAATGCAATTGTAAATATTCCAAGTATTTACTTGAAATCATTTATTTATTATTTATTTGTGTAGACCAGGCTGGCCTTGAACTCACAGAGATCTGCCTCCCGAGCTCTGGGATTAAAGGCGTGTGCCACCAACGCCCCACTAGGCTTGAACTCCTAGAGATCCACCAGTCTCTGCCTCGAAAGTGATAAGATTTAGGGTATAAACCACTATGTCTGGCTTTTAATTTAAATTTAAAGTCTTTTAGACTGATAGTTAAATTTCTTAATTCCACTAAAGAATATGTTCTGACTAAAATTCACTAGCATTCCATAAAGGAAATCAAGCAGTATAGCTAAGAAAAACATGCTAATTGAAAATCATCTGAAATTGCTTTTAAATTTTAAAAATATTTTTTTTAAAAAAAAAAAAAAAAAAAAAAAAAAAAAACCTAAAGTTTTGAAGAGTAGAGTGGGAGGGCAAAGAGGGACACACAAATGCGAAAGTAAGCCTCTCTCCCTTTCTTCCTCTAGCCTTCACCTCCAGCGTGGCACTCTGTAACAGTCAGAACTGCATTGACCTTCATAGTATTTCTTTTACTTTGTCAATAAAACCTTATTTCACGCTTTAAATCCCAAGAGGAAAGTCAGTTCTTCATAGGAGAGTGTCCTGTGTGTAACCATTTCCCCCATTTTCAGGTCCAGTCCATTGAATCCAAGTTGGATTGTCTGCTGGACATCTACCAACAGGTCCTTCGTAAAGGCTCTGCCTCCGCCCTCACTTTGGCATCATTCCAGATCCCACCTTTTGAATGTGAACAGACATCTGACTATCAAAGTCCTGTGGATAGCAAAGACCTGTCGAGTTCCGCACAAAACAGCGGCTGCTTAACAAGGTCAGCCAGTGCCAACATCTCAAGAGGCCTGCAGTTCATTTTAACACCAAATGAGTTCAGTGCTCAGACTTTCTATGCGCTTAGTCCTACTATGCACAGCCAAGCAACACAGGTGCCAATGAGTCAAAACGATGGCTCCTCCATGGCGGCCACCAATAACATTGCAAACCAAATAAGTGCAGCACCCAAGCCAGCAGCCCCAACAACTTTACAGATCCCACCCCCTCTCCCAGCCATCAAGCACCTGTCCAGACCGGAGACTCTGCACCCAAACCCCACTGGCTTACAAGAAAGTATTTCTGATGTCACCACCTGCCTTGTTGCCTCCAAGGAAAACGTTCAGTTTGCACAGTCAAATCTGACCAAGGATCGTTCCCTGAGGAAAAGTTTTGACATGGGAGGAGAAACTCTGTTGTCTGTGCGCCCCATGGTACCCAAGGACTTGGGTAAATCTTTGTCTGTCCAAAACCTGATCAGATCGACAGAGGAACTGAACTTGCAGTTTTCAGGCAGTGAGTCAAGTGGCTCCAGAGGCAGCCAAGATTTTTACCCCAAGTGGAGAGAATCCAAATTGTTTATAACTGATGAAGAACTGGGTGCCGAGGAGGCAGAAACAGATACTTTTGATGTCACCCCACAGCCTGCCGGGGAAGCTGCTTTTACATCTGACTCTTTAAGGACTGGAAGGTCGAGGTCATCTCAGAACATTTGTAAGACAGGAGACAGTACAGAAGCCCTCAGTCTGCCTCATGTCAAACTGAACTAAGTTCTTTGTTTTCTTTCTAGGCATAGCTGTTCTTTTAGCCATACATATCACTGCATGAACTATTCTGAAAGCCCTTCTAAAAAGTCGAAATCGCAAGAACCAGGAAGAACATGAACGGCCACTTATAAGCCCGTTATCTTTTAATTGCATGAAAATGCATGTTTGGGGATGGCAGAAATTCCAAGGTGCATCGACATTAACCCATGCATTTAGTAATGTACCTTGAGTCTAAAATCCCAAGCAAACAGTTGCTGCTGATGCTATGGGGTGTGCGAAGATGTCAGGAGTAGTTCAATTGCAAGAGTTGATGCTGTATTTTGAAATGGTGACAGTGAACACCTTCAAATTTCAGGCATTTCTGCTTTTATGACTAGATACAAAGTACACTTTCAAAATTAGACCATAACGTATGTTTAGACACAATGGCTAGCAACAGCTGCTAATAACACAAGTAAAGCAGAATTTGGAATATAACAGAAATGGCTGCTTATTTCAAGATATCTTTGCCAACCCATTCCTCCTCAGTCATTTTATTAATGTAATTTGAATGTCAATCTGTGTGCTTTTGGTGACTTAGCGCTGTGGCAAGCAACTTTGCACATTGTTGTCATGTTGTCCTTTATGCTGAGAATGTTTTCTAATTAGAAAACGGGCAGATACTGCTATTCAGGGCCAGTGGGGCAGGAGACTCACTCTTCCCTTGACATCTTCACCTTCATGAGAATAGTCTCCGAGGGAGGAGTCAACTCTATAAATGGTCAAAATCTTTACAAGCATGTGAGCTACCGATGGGTTTAACAGCCTGTGCTGGTGGACTGGTCTCTCTTTGAGAACACAGTGACGGGTTTGCCCATCCTGCCCACTCAAATGGCCAGTGTGACCAGCTGTTCCCATTTAGTGGACATGCAGGGAGGGCCCAGGGAAGGGAATATCTACATGAGGCTGAGGAGGGAAGACTGGGAAAGACTATACAAGCATTATCACAAGTGGGTGACATTAAAGGAAATGACTCCCCACCCCCAAAGGGCAGTGAGGAGAGAAGCCAAAATGAGATAACTAGATTTTTTTAGAAAATAAATATTGCTAGGAAGTTCAACTACCTAAACATCCCTTATTCTTGTATAACAGAGAATTTTGCAAGCTATTTATTTTTAATAAGCCCTGAATGTCTTTTTGCTATTATGTAGTACCTTTTGCACATGAAAGACTAAAGCTAAACTTCCTTTACTTTTATACTATAGTGAACATTTTTCTATTCTTCCCAACAATATTATCCCAAATGTGAAATTATTGGCTCAGTTTCCAGGTTATGAACATTTATAATTACAAACCAGATAGCATTGGCTGTGTCTGCAGATCAAAACCCCTTAGCAATATATTGTGACAGCAAAGCAACAAATAAAAAAAATATGTATTCAAAATGTATTTCTCAAAAGGCAAGCAATATTGGCCGCTTTTTAGAATTCAGCCAAGCACCTGTAATCACAGCACTGGCAGACTGAGACAGGCAAACTTGAGTTCAAAGCTAGCCTGAATTATACAGCAAGAGAGTGTCTCAGAAACAGAAAGAACTAAATATCTTAGACCATCAGGTATTGACCAAAGTAATAACATTCAAATAGGCTTAGTGGGCCTAGCTTGTGTGCATACCTGTAATCCCATTATTTGAGAGGTTGAGGCAGGTGTCAAAAAAAATCAAAAAAATTAAAAAGGAGGGAGGGAAGAAAGAAAGAAAGAAAGAAAGAAAGAAAGAAAGAAAGAAAGAAAGAAAGATCTGAGAGAAGTTGGTTAGACACGAATGACCGAAGAATTCATGGAGGAAGACATTTTTCTTACCAACTATTAGTGCTGGGCGGGGAGTGGGGGCGGGGCTTTTATCAGCATCAGGGCCAAATGAGCAGGATCTAGGGATATCAGGAGGCTGTTCAAAGAAAGGACACCTCCAAATCCACCAGCCCCTCCCAAGTCTTTCCCCAGCAGAATGTTCTTGTCACTGAGTCGCCCTTACTTCTCTTCACCTTTAACTGTTTGGTGATTTCTCACCACAATTTGCTTTAGAACTTCAGACCTTAACCAGCTGTCACCCTCAAGTGAATCAATTCTCTCTTCCTCAAATGCTTCCCAACCTCACTTTTGGCCAACAGTGAAATGTTTAAAAGTCTTCCTAATTTTCACCCCTCTAGGCTTTGTGCAGGGTGTGGTGGTGCACACCTTTAATCCCAGGGCTTGAGAGGCAGAGGCAGAGAGATCTTTGTGAATTCAAGGCCAGCCAGGGCTACATAGAGAGACCATATCTCAAGAAAGAAAGAAAAGAGAGAGGGGGAGGAAGGAAGGAAGGAAGGAAGGAAGGAAGGAAGAAAGAAAGAAAGAAAGAAAGAAAGAAAGAAAGAAAGAAAGAAAGAAAGAAAGTTGCTTGGAATCGGATACAGTCTCCTGGAGTATAGCATTCAGGATCTTTTGGCCCATGAAAACACTTATAAAGTCCGAGTTTTACACTCTATTGAAAAGAATGTCAAGTCTTTTAAGCTATTCTTTTCATTTTCCAAATAGAATGCTACTCAATTACTAATGTGAGTTTTCATTTCCCAATGTCTCCAACCAACCTGAGGTAATGATGTACCCCGCAAAGGACTTACCCATAGGTGTATAAAAAGCACATCCCTCCACTGGGCAAGAGCCAGAGATACCTGCCTGGCACTCAACAAGGTTCACTGCAAATAATGGCTGAGGAAGAGGAAGGAGCTGACAGCTTCCAGACAGCACTGATACTGTCTCAGGTTGAACCCCACTGGCAGCAAGAATTATGAATGTATTGGGGACCCCTTCTTAGGCATCCTCAGGTCTCAAACACAGTACAGTTCATCTACCATAGATGAAGACTGAAGAATTAGAGACAACGCCAAAACACATCACGGCAGTCTTAAGCAAAATGTGAAAAACTACATTTTGAAAAATGATTGTACATTGAAGCCATGACGATTTTGTGTCTATTTTATTCTAGCACAAAACTCTTGGACGTTGCAAGATAGGTTTCTTGGCGTGTAAACTTCAGGGTTATATCTATTATGCCATTCTCTGGGGGAATGGAGGAGGGGGTCTCCCATTTACACTTAGCAGAGGCCCATTGCTCCACCCCAAAGGGTATCTGGGAGCACAGTTCAGATGAGCACACTAGTAGCCTTGTGCTTTCTCAACTCAAGCCCGTCTGCCTTCTGCAATGCACAGGGTTGATCAAGCTAAGATGTACAGCAGTCATCCCTTGTAGGAGGTTAACTGAAAACTGTTGCCATGTCTAATCTAAGTGTTTGCATTTTGTTCAACCAAATTAATATCTGTGGATGTCAAGGTCATTTAAATTAAGATGCTTTACTGGGTTTTCTGATTCTCTAATGATTTCTTGTCCTTAGGTGCCTTTCTGAACTCTTGTTGGCTCAGTTTTGTCCGGAAGGCTCTTAATCTGAAAGTCAAACAAGTCTAATAGAGGAGTCGAGGCACAAACTAACTAAATATCATACCCATTTCCAGATCAAAACCATAAGTGATGAAACCCAGACAAACAGCTCATTCAATCAGATCAAGGAAATATCATAAATGATAATTCCCCAGAACCTGACTTTTTTTTTGCCTTAAATGACATGGTTGTGTTTTGTAAGAAAATTTAATTTAATATAATTATGTGCATTTAAGTGAGCAGTTCTAAAGTCATGTAGAAAAACAACACAATTGTCTGTTTCCTGAAACAACTAAATCGGGAATACCATACCCATTTCAAGCTATCGTTAAAATGTAATTTCCTTTGCTCTCTTTTACTGAGATATTTGTTTTAAACTAAAACATTAAAAAGATATCTATAAACATTGAGTGTGATTGTTTTTATCCAGAACAATTGACTGACCCAACCATACACAGATTTTTATTGTGACGTACATTTGTGATGCTGGTAAAGAAAGTATAGCATTTGGGAATGTAGATTTTCATCTTCTCAAGGATATGGTAAGAAAAACTGTATTTTTTTTTATTTCTGAGGATTCAGCTCAGGTCCCTGGCCATGTGATCCCCAGACCAAGAAGAATATAATTTAATATGGATCATAACTCAGACACCAGTCCATGTGGGTGTTATGTTAACTACAAATTGAATAGCCCCTATATGCACTTCCTGGGAATGTAAGTGTTTTTAAGTTGCAGATTAATGTTGATTTTAGAATATTTGAAAATACGGGGCTGGAGAGATGGCTGTGCTTACAACCAAAAATATGAGAGTATTTAAAAATACATAATATTCTGTAGGGATGGGAGACAAATCTCAACACAAAATTCATTGTGTCACAAATTCTTACAAATTCTAGGCCAGTACTGAGCCATGGAGCTCACCCCAGACATTTACATACTATTTTTAATAATTTGTGCAAAAGAAGAAAGTTTCATGGAATGGAGTAGTGTTCATGTTACCACTCAAAAACTTCTGAGAGCCTTTGGAGATTTGGTCTTACAGATAACCAGCTAGTATAACAAAGGGTTTGCTATACAAGTGACGAGAAACAAAGACCAGGTAGATACCCAGTGCAGATCATGGGGATGACTGCACCCATCTCTGCCTCATCAGGAATGTCTCTACCTCAAAAAGACAGTGTCCTTTGTCACGTGAGAAACTCAATCACAGGGACTGAAAAAGTGACTTAGCAGTTAAGAGTGATTACTGCTCTTTGACAGGGCTCAGGATCACTTCCCAGCACCCACCATTGAGCAACTCACAACCTCCTGTAACTCTAGCTCCAGAGAATAGGACACATTCTTCCAGCCTCCAAGATCACTGCACACATTTGGCACACATAAACTCAAGGAGCACACACATAAAAATCTAGCAACAAGGGCTGGAGAGATGGATTACCCCTGTTCCTCTTTTTAGTCTCCCCATTCTGCCTTATAATAAACTTATAGTCAATATGTCTGTCTCGACAATTTCTCTTTTCTTTTTAAACAAAACAATAACAATCTTTAAAAAAATCTAACGGAAATCTGGTGCCCTCTTCTGGTGTGCAGATATACATGGAAGCAGAATGTTGTATACATAATAAATAAATAAATAAAATCTTTTTAAAAAATCTAACAACAAATAAATCTTTATAAAATTTCTTTTAATTTATGTACACTGATGTTTTGCCTGCATGTATATTTGTATGAGGGTGTCAGGTAGCCTACAACTAGAGTTACAGATAGTTGTGAGCTGCCATATGAGTGCTAGAAATTGAACCTGGTCTTCTGTAAGAACAGTCAGTGCTCTTACCTGCTGAGCTATCTCTCCAGCCCAACAAATAAATCTTTTAAAAAATAATAAAAATAAAAACAAGAGCCTCTACTAGAGCAAGCCATGGTGGCTCATGCCTGTAGTCCTGGCTCTTTGGATATGAGTCGGAGGCCAGCCTGAGACTACATAGTGAGTATATGTCTTAAAAAATATAAATAAATGTGGTGATATTTTGTTTATGCTTTAACAAATAAAACTTGCCTGAAGATCAGAGTGTGGAGCTAGCCACTAGTTAGCCACAGACGCCAGGCAGTGGTTGAACACACCTTTAATCCCAGCACCCTGGGTTACACAAGATTGCTCTAGGGTAGCCGGGCGGTGGTGGCCCACGCCTTTAATCCCAGCACTCAGGAGGCAGAGGCAGGCAGATCTCTGTGAATTCAAGACCAGCCTGGTCTACAAGAGTTAGTTCCAGGACAGGCTCCAAAGCCACAGAGAAATCCTGTCCCGAAAAACCAAAAAAAGGATTGAGCCAGGTGGTGGTCATTCATACCTTTATTCCCACTACTTGGGAATCACATGTCTTTAATTCCAGCAGTAGTGAGGTAGAGACAGGAATGATGGCTAGACAACCTAGTGTAGCTCAGGGTGGCCTTGAACTCACAGAGATGCACCAGCCCCTGCCTCCTACGTGCTGGGATTATAGGCATGTGCCACCACTACTGGGTGTCTATGACTAAGTAGTGTGGCTAGCTCCACACTAGGGAGGCAGAAACAAGTAGATATCTGTGAGCTCGAGGCTATCCTGGTCTACAAAGCAAGTTCCAGGCCAGCTAAAGCTACACAACCCACCCCTACCTGCTTCTAGACATTTTTGGAACTACTTTAGCAGTGCCTCAAACCTATCAATGAAAATGAAAATATACAACAATTATTTTGCATTAACTACTAGTAAAATTTGGATCACTGGTCTTGAAATGGCAGGTATTGTTTCAAGTCTGATACAAGTATATCTTTGCAAATTATTTAAAATTTACCTTAACTTTAAGACTTCTTACAATTCATCTAATTCTAAATTATTGAGGTTTTTCAGATTTCATTTTTATTCTCTGGGTATAAGTGTTTTGCTTTTGATAATGGTCTTTATTAAAGCAATAAAGTAAACTAGAACACTACCATAAGCTACATATTGAAATTTTACATAATCTCTCAAAAAAAGGATTGTCCAATATTGTCCAAATACAACCACTTAATGCCATATTGCTCCAACTATACTACAAAAAGTAATGTAGCAGTTAGGAGTCATATGACTTAAAACATACTAACAGCTTTCCTGAAAAAAGAACAAGAAGAGAAAGTTTTTTAAGAAAACGCTAGTGAACGAAAGTGATGGTGCACACTTTGTTTTTGTTTGCTTTGTTTTTTGAGACAGGGTTTCTCTGTGTAACAGCCCAGGCTGTCCTAGAACTCATTCTGTTTTCCAGGCTGGCCTTGACCTTACAAAGATCTACCTGCCTCTGCCTCTGCCTCCTGAGATATGAGATTAAAGGTGCATGCTGCCTCCTGAGAGCTGAGATTAAAGGTGCATGCCATCTGCCTTTAATCCCAGCACTTGGGAGGCAGAGGCAGGTGGATCACTGTGAGTTCAAGGGCAGCCTTACCTATTGAATGAGTTCCCGGACAGCCATGGCTACACCAAAAAAAGAGAAAAAAAAGGAGGAAAGAAGGAAGGAAGGGAGGAAGGGAGGGAGGGAGGGAAAGGAAAGAGAAAGAAAGGAAGGAAGGAAGGAAAGAAGGAAGGAGAAAGAAAGGAAGAAAGATCAATACACCTAGGTACTGAAAGCACTGACCATTCAGACTGAATTTCACAGACCTGAATTACAGCCTGGAGAAGAATGTTGATTTGCTGATGGTTGATGTAAATTAAAAACTACCTGTTACATAGTTTTTTTTTGAGACAAGGTCTATGTAGCCCTGGCAGTCCTGGAACTCTCTCCAGGCTGGCCTCAAATTCAGAGGTCAGCCTGCCTCTGCCTGCTCAGTACTGGGATTAAAAGTGTGCACCACTACACCTGGATTTCTTTTAGAGATTATAACATTACAACATTTTACCCCTTCCATTTTCTCTCTCCAGATTCTCTCATACACCCCTCCTTCATCTTTCAAATTCATGGCCTTTTTCAGTAGCTGTCCTAATCTGTTTTTCTCTACCTCCTAAGCCCAAAAATGTGAAGTTATCAAATAAAAAATAAATGATATTCCCCTTTGAGAGAAGGTATGTTGCTTTCTTCTAGTCAGACTCACAAGTGTTTCTCTACTATGAAACCGATCTAATTTCTGTTCAGCAGTTGGCAGTGTGAGATTAACGAAATTAGCTACAAAGGATGTTCCAAATTCAACCATTTTCTGAAATTTCTCCCATTCCGCTCTGGTCCAAGACATGATGCCTCTCTTCTAGCTTAATGTTTGTTTGTTATTTTGCTTTGTTTTGAAACAAGGTCTCTCAACATAGCTCTGACTGTCCTAGAACTTACTGTGTATATCAGGTTGTCCTCAAACTCAGAGATCCACCCATCTCTGCCTCCCGAGTGCTGGGATTAAAGGCGTGTGCCACCAACGCCTGGTTGGAATCTCAATGTTTATTATTGAGTACAACTCCAGGGAGTTGTCCTTTAAGCCACACATATATAATAAATACAAACATAAAAATGTTTCAATACTCATCTTAATGGGCATGGTAAAGCATGACTTTGGTCCCAGCAATTAGGAGACTCAATAGACAGGTGCATCTCTGTGAGTTCAAGACCAGCCTAGTCCACATAATGGGTTCCAGGACAGCCAGAGCTATGTAATAGGGAGACCCTGTTCAAAACAAACACACAAAAACAACAAAACCACCTGCCCTCCTCTGCAACTTGCAGAGTTCCAATGTATGCCACTGTGGTTCCTCAGAGAACACCCACTGCAGAACCATTCTATTAGTGTCTCACAGGCATTTTGATGCACACTGAACTATCAAATCATAGGACAGGAAAAGAAATTCCCACTGAATATTATGCCACAGTCAAATACAATACTGCTCATCATTAGAAAAAAGTATATATAATTTTTCTTTTTGTGGTTTTTCGAGACAGGGTTTCTCCGTGGCTTTGGAGGCTGTCCTGGAACTAGCTCTTGTAGACCAGGCTGGTCTCAAACTCACAGAGATCTGCCTACCCCTGCCTCTCAAGTGCTGGGATTAAAGGAATGTACTACCACCACCTGGCGAAAAACAATGTATTCTTTATTAATAAACTTTAAGAACAAAGACATTTGAAGACCAAGTCCTTCTATCATGTGCCCAAATCCAAGAGAATCTGTTCTAGAGAACTCTTGCCTTTTCTTCTAGAAATCTCCCTGAACTGTCCTGATGGACCCATTATGTCATAGAGGTAGCTATAAATAGTAAAATAAAGATCGTGCAAGGCCAGAGGCTGTGCAATCTTCTATACCCACCACGGAGCATCCATTCAGGTTTATAGGACCTCGAAAGAGATAAATTCTGCATAGTCCTCCTTAGTTGTATTATTTCTACTGTTGATGTGGGGGCTTTTTGAGATGGGGTCTCAGATGTA